TAATTTTATTAAGTTGAGTATAAATTTTTATAATAATATCAATTTAATTAAATACAATATATAGGTTATTAAATATTTATACATTACATAGAGTAACTTATTTAATATGAATTTACAGTATTATTATTTAAAGTTTACAGTGAATACATAATATTTGTTTTATAAGAATATTATAAACGATAAAATTCATCGCAAGTTCACTCAATAGTCCATTCATACTATCGCCACAAATAATCGCAAACTTCATACTATTTGAATAAATCTGCAAATTATTATTTAATTATATTAACTCTTATTTTATTTTAACAAATTTTCTTTTAATTTAGTTTAATTATTAATTAATTTTATAGTAATTATAATTTTGTTAAACCATAACATGTTTGTCGATATAATTAATTGAATAAATTTTACACATTTTTATAATACTGTATTCAATTCATTAATAGATTTTAAAAGTATTTAAATTAACATTTATATGAATAATAAAAATTAATCATAAATTTACTGATAGTTAACACTATTGAGGGGCTGATAGGTCTGACTGGATGTCTGTGCCGTCGAGTTGTCCACCAAATTCACGATCCGTTTGCGGACATCAAACACATTACAACCTTACGGTTCACCTCAGGTTTCATAAGGATATGGACCCCAAACTCGTCGCCCAATCCCTCCATATCTCTCCCGTAGCCGTCGATCACATGACTGTCCCCTTCGGTCACTTCGAAGTCCAGTTCCACGACATATCGGCCACTGATCTCAGGTTTGGCGGCAATCACTGCCTCCAAGTCCGGGCCACGAGTTTTTGAAACTTATTTTACATACCGTTCCACATGTAGTCACTTAACATATGACTATTTCGATAGTGATTAGCTATCGTTTACAAGTAATAATCGTAGGAAGTGCTATCACTTTTCCATTTATTAAGGAATAAGATTTCAAATGAAATGAACTGCATTTATAATATATCATAAATTATAATTCATAGAATGCATAGAATGCTAACTCTAGGCATAGAATTATAATAATAAATTTTAAGGTTAATACAAATTATGTATTACAAATTTAATTTGTTATATAAATATACCATCTAACATTCACATTATAAATGTTAAAACTAATTAATGCACATAGTTTCTACCACTAATAATATGATTAATATATTTTAATACCAAATAATAAAACTACATTTCCATTTCTAACAGTTTTAAAATATTTATCCAGGTCTTGGAGAGTTGGAGTTTTGGAGACGTCTACACATGCCCGTGTCATCACCACTATGATCAATTTCAATATGATCATATATGTAACGTGGTAAATTAATACCATAGATTGATCTTGGTGTTTGGCACACCATACCTTCCGGGCACGTACTTCCCGTAGTACAAGGAGGACCATACCAGTAACTGCTGTAATCCTGTCCCATCACCGCATCCATAGTCACCACCAATATTAGCACCAATTTGTTTGAAACCATATTTAGTTATATAATGAGAACTATATCTTATAGCTAAATGTTTGTCACAAATAGTGTATTTGTTGTCATTTGATTCACGTTGAGAATTGTAATACAATATTTAAACTTAATATACAGTACTAGTACATTTAGAATTATAACAAATAACTGTATTATTATATTATTATAAATGCATTTGTAAAATTTTATTGTGTAATATTTTAGACATGTTAATACAAATGTATCTTATATCAAATATTAATCTTAAAAGTTTGTTAAAAATCCATTTTATTACTCCTATATATAACACTGTAAGAATATTCTGTTGCAAAAAAACATTAAATATTTTTATAAATGATTGTCTTAAGGTTTATAATAATAAAAGGATTAAAGTATTTGTCATATTAAATATATAATGCAATTAAATATATAAGATTATATAAATATTAGCGCAATAAATACTTTGTCTTGAATTGTATAAAAATGTTATTTTAATTAAAGACTTAAAATATGAGTTAATAAAAATGAATCAAGTTTTCAATCATAAAAATTAAAATTTTAACAAATGAATGTGAGTTATATAACTGTAAATACAGTATTATGAAATTATTTTCTATTAATTTATGAAAACTTAATACTGTACTGTGTATTAGTAGCACAGGTAGGTTTCTGAATAGGGGGATAGCTAGCAATTATAGTCTTAAATGCGTGACATTTATAGACAATACAATCATCCAAACGTTATTTAAATAACTTATTATAAAGACATTATTCAATAGAGATTTATAAACTTACATAAATTTATCACAAAGAATATTCTGTAATGTATTCATAAATCTATTATTTTCTATTTAAAGTTAATCTTTTGTACATTAAGTAAATTTTTTCTACAATAATTAGTACAATATATTCTCTAATCTCAATATATTCTGTCTACTATTTAATTAGCGAAAGTTTTTTGTTATCATAATCTGAAACGAAAGTATAAATTACATTCAAAAACAATTGAATTCAATAGACATGTGAATGAATGGAGTATTTTATTCGTGAAAAAATATATCTTAATAATAATTACACTGAAAATTATGAGTGTTTTTCATTTGTACGACTAGTATATTCACGAAAATGTTATTAAAATAATACAATTTACGATCGAAAACAAGAAAAAAATAAAACAAAAACTTAATTTAAATTTTAAATACAAACAATTGTATGAAATAATTCATTTGTTAAATGTATTTACGGTATAAAAATAAACATGAATTATATTCACAACACATGATAAATAAATAAATAAATAAGAAATTACACAATAATTCACGCAATAAATCACAACAATTAGTATACAATACGCCTAAAAACAACACCAATATCTTCGGCATCAGAGTCTCGTGACCTCATCGTAACCATCGTCGTCATCATCGCTATTATCGACCACCGATTGGATCCGTTGGGCGATCTCTGGCTTCGAGATAGCGTTCAGATGCCTGACAAACGCCGACAAATATAACTCAATGGTCAACAGCTGACCGGTGCGGTCGATGGCCATCACTGTCTGCGTCTCGGAGTCGAAACACGTGCTGAATATGACCGACGAGGATATGAGGGCCGACGTGATGAGAGCACCGGTCTCTATATCGCACACATAGAGCGCCCCGTACTTCGAGAACACGTAAATGAGTCCCAAATCGGTGTTACACTCAATGGCCACCGGGAAGTCCGGCGTCAGACCATTGGCGTCGTTAGTGTCCAACTGTGGTATGACTTCTGTGCGCGATATCAGCGAATTATTGCACTCTTGAATCGGTCCCAATTCGATGATATAGATCTTCAGGGCGTTTGTTTGGTGCCGTTTGGCCGCCAATAACACTTGGGTCGGCATTTGGTTGGCTATGAATTTGTATTCACATAATGTGAAGGCCTGGGCGTCGATGCATTGGGACAGTTGGTTGCGGGTCGAGTGGATTTGGACGCAACCATTCACCTCACCTCAAGACACGAGTAATTGCAATATAATTAGTATTTTGTTTATAAATAGCAAACAATTAGAGAAAATCATTATTAACTCAAAAGTTATGGAAATATCTATAAGTTTATGAACATTAAAACATTAAATTGATTGATACCCTCGTCATCGAGGTATAGGGATGTGATGGCAAACCATTGATCACAAGTCTTATCGCACTTATAGCCAGTGATCTGATAGTCTTGCAGTCGTTTATCGACTTTAAACTTCAACTCCGGCTTAAACTTGAGATCCGGTACATCGATGTTCCAGTGAAACACTTCCCTTTCGGTGATCACGACAATCACATTATGTCGAATCCAGTTCCAGTGTCGGCACCGGGAGGGGAACGGCAGGGTATTGAGACACTGGTTCGTGTGGACACAATACACGGCTAAGAACTTGTCGTTAGAGATGGCAATCATGTCGTTATCGGCGCTGATTTGCGCGCATTTCGTGTCGCAACTGATCTGACAGTTGTATAGTTGTCTCGTAAACGGATTCACGACTGTTATCACGGACTCCATCCCTGTGCCCGACATCCCCGGCCTCTCGTTATCACCATTAGTGTCGTCGCTGTCTTCGCGATTATCTCTCAGCCACTGATTCAAGTCATCGCACGAGTGGTTACGATAGCCGGGGCTGAATAGGTGTGGATAATAGGCCTCCGACGGCAGACTCCCGACTACCGTTCCCGTTGAGGGCGCCGGTAGCTCGTTGTGACCGTTATTGACGGCGCCGGTAGTTGATTGTCGGCTGTGTCTGATGGCTATCCACCGAAAGCCATTCATCTTGACTTTCGACCAATTGATGTCATTGTCACTGATGTCCAGATTTGTCAACTAATTCACCGATAATTCAATACAAATATAAAAGTTTTTAATTAACTGTTAACTAGTTTTAGACTAAATATAACTGCACTTTTAATTAGGATTTTATATACATATGTGTCAATAGTGGTGTTATAAATGAACTAGCTTAATTGCCTGGCTATGTTATAAAAGTTACTAGTTAATTAACTAGCAAAAAATTAATTATATTTAATTTAACTATGGGTTAAATACCTGCAAAACTTGTGTCACATTAATGATAGGCTCGTCCAATGACATTATTACCCTGTTAATTTTTGGTTAACTATTAATTCAGTAAATAATTCAATATGAAAACAATAGCCTATTATAAAGGCTATGATAAAAATCACAATTAATTTATTGCCACAAAACTCAATGAGTTATTTATTACACAAATCAATGGGGCGTCAAAATGAGCCATGTATATATTTAAATGCCATTGATATTACAATTGTTTTACACATATAATTACATTATTAATTACAGCCAATTGTTTGGTCAAATGTTTTGTTGTCTGAGAAAAATGAGTGTAAAATACAAATTGAGTACAAATTCATTGATGAGAGACGAGACACTCATTGATGTAATCATTGAGCGCTTTAAATGTCAATCAAAAACACAATACGAGAGTAAAAACATATGATTTCTGTGTTTAGCATTGCGTTCACTCCATAGGCTTTCAATGCATTTTCCAATAGCTATTGGATTTCAATGGCAATGCTATTCAATAGCGCGCTTTGCGTTAGGTTTGGATTTCATTGAAGTTTTTGAGAGTTTATTATTAAAACTTTTTGTATAAATATTTATTTTTCCGCTAATTATGCGACTAATTCCGTGCATGTTATGTAACGACAATTTAATGGACTATTATGGTAATGAAGTTTATCAAACATTTTCTACTGTACAGTATAGTAAATGTCTAATTTATTGTATGATAGGCAAGTTTATTAAAGTTTAACTAAAAGTTTTTTATGACTATTTAATTAATACATAAGTAAACTTTAACATAAAGAATTTATTTTTTGTAATGACATTTAAAAACTTATTTATAATTTAAATGACAAATAAAACAAAAAACTTTCTACATTAGTAACATTATTCAACAAAATATCAAATAACTACTAAATTAATAAAACCTAACGTTTAGTATTGGGTTTTGAATGCAGTTTTCATATCCGGTTAATACACTGATATTGACAGCGATTTCGCGTTTCAAATCCCGTACTAATCGGATGGAGACATAATATGCAGCGCAGGGGGAAACACCAGTGCACTGG